TATAGATAAGATAGACGAAAACACCCACAGCGGGATAAAAAAAAAGTGAAATAAAAAAAAATTAAAGAACAAAGATTAAATAAAAAATTAATAAAACAAATGAAATAAGGAAAATTTAGAAAATAATAAGAAAAAATCAAAAATAACAAACAATATGATATAATTGGGTCATGGAACCCATGGTAAAAACAAAGTTCTTTAAACATAAGATAAGTGCTAAAAAAAACTAAACACAAGATGTGTGTCGTAAAACATCATGAAATAAAGGAACACAATTTCACAGGTAACAAGGAGGTCGTGAGACCTATAAAAAGGACAAAGCTCTATAAAAAGAAGGATGGCATTTATGTCGTTCATTAAAACAAAAACTAAAAAACAAATTAAAAAAATTATTCCAGTATTTACGATAGTTAAACTTTGTAAATACTGTATTTATGAACGTTGTTCTTATCTCATGTTTAAAGAACTTCGTTTTTACTGTGGGTTCTATGACCCACATAAATCCCCTGGTTTGTTTCTTTTTATTTTTTTATTTTTCGTTTTATTTTCATTATTTCGTGGTTTTAAAAAATTTTTTTGTTTACTCTTCTTTTTTTTCATTTCCTTTTTTTTCTTTAAATTTTCTGAAAGAAATAAATAAGAATAAAAAAAAATCCTCTTCAGGTGCAGATTGAACACACAACTTTTTGTTCAATAGACAGTTGGTCTACTATTTAAGCTATCAAGGAGCTGTAGATTAATTTGCAACCTAAGTTTAGATAAGTTTCTAATTCTTAAAATTGAGAGCTACCTTTAACCGTAGCTCGATATAGTAGGTATATGTTTCTAATGCTTGTCGGTAAACTAGAAATTTAATACGACCACCAGGTATACAAGCCAATGCTTATACATCATAATCATTTTATCAAGAGTTGCATATGTGTAGATTTTTTTATTTTTTTTTTTTATTCATCATCGCCTGCAGGCTCAGACATAGCATTTTTTTACGTAAGCAAAGTGTTAATTAACCATCGGTGCACCTGAAGTATGACCAGATGTTTATATACGTGTATAAACATTTAGACACCTCATACACCTATGATAACGAAGACGAAGCGTCAGAGAAACAGTTCATGGACCTTCGAGAATCAAGAGCAAAGGCAAAAGCGCAAGACCTGAATGGTGACCAGACGATCACCCATCTAAGTATTAATGGCACCAAATGCAGCTTATCCTCAGAGATCGACAGAACTCTACCGTTGTGCTGCCGTGACTACAATTTATAGATGGCAGCTCTTTTTATACAAGCACTGTATATTCTCCATACAGGCCCTTTTCTTAATATCTGATATACTTATGATTCATAATAATAAACCAGATAATATTTTTTAAAGAAGCTTTCTTTAAAGAAGCTGTGCTTTTAAAGAAGCTTTCTTTAAAAAATGAATAAAAAAAAAAAATATCGTTCTCAAGTGCAGATTAAGCACATATCCTTCTGCTTACAGAACAAATGCTCTACCACTTATGCTACCGAGGAGTCGTACATTCATTCGTACCTTAACTTTAGATAAGTTTCTCACTCCAGAATTCAAGAGCTGTCTCTAATCTAAGCTCTATATAGTAGGTATATGATTCTCATGCTTGACGGTAAACTAGAAATTTAATATGACCAAAAGGTATACAAGTGAATGTTGATATATTATGATTATTGTATGAATAGGTGCATATGTGTAGATGGTGGCACCTTTTATACAAGTACTTTATATCCTTTATATATGCCCTTTTTTAAATATTTTATATACTTAAGATTAATAATAATAAACCAGATAATTTTTTCTTCAAGAAATTTTTTGGAGAAACAAATAAGAATGAAAAAATAAAGAAAAAACTAGGAATAAAAAGTAAATAGATATGACAAAGAAAAATATCTACGGTTCCTCGGTAGCTCAAATGGTAAAGCAATAGTCTAGTCAACAGGAGACTCTATGTTCGATCTGTACCCGGAAGGATATTTTTTTCATTCTTATTAATTTTTAAAAGAAAACTCCTTGAAAAAAAAGTTATGTAGTTTAGTATTATGAATCTAAAGTTTATCAGATGTTGAGAAGACGGCATGTTTTGAGGACATAAATTGCTTGCCATACATAAGCACCTCTTGATACAATGATTAAGATAAATCAACATTTGCTTGATTAGTCATTGATCGTATTACATTTCTAGTTCACCGACAAGCATTAGAATCATATACCTATTATACCAAGCTTAGGTAAAGGACAGCTATCAAAATTGAGAATGGGAGACTTATCTCAACTTATAGTGCGAGTAAATGTACAACTTTTCGGTTGGTCAAATGGTAGAGCAGCTGCCTAGTGAACAGGAGGTTGTGTGCTCGATTCATACTTGGGGAGGATATTTTTTCTTGATTTCTATTTATTTCTTAAAGAAAATTTCTTGAAAGAAAAGTTATGTGGTTTTGTTTTATGAATCTTAAGTATATTAAATAATATGAAAAGGGTATGTACGAAGGATGTATATAGTGTTTTTATGAAAATTAACGCTTTTTATACACATGAACCTCTTAATATAACGATTTAGATGCATTAGTATTCGATTGTATACCTGTTGGGTGCACTTAATTACTCGCTTACTGAATTCAGTAAAATAATTTACCTACTTTTGAGAATTGTCTTATTTTTTATGTCATGAAGCGCGTCAAGACGTAGGATGAAATGATTCCGTCAACACGTGCGGTGTACACATACCGATCCTTTTGCGTGGTACAAGTTCGATGCGATGCACTTATAGATAAGATAGACGAAAACACCCACACAGTTTATCTCTTATGTGGTGGTTAATAGTTTTTACTTAAGGGTAAGTAGTACCTAAGAAAATTTGTTAATTTTTTCGTTAGATGTGAATTCAAAATTTTTACTACGTTTATCTGTGTTGCGTATTACTCTAAGGCCTTTGATGGACAATTCATATTAAAATTCATTGTAAACAATAAAAAGGTGTCTTCTGAGATTATTCCTAATGGGTGCAATATGATTCGTATGTCGTTAGGAAAAGTTTAATTTATATCTAGTTTAAATTACTTACCTATGAAGTTGGCACATTTACTTGAAACGTTTAGCCTTACAGGACATAAGAATGGTATATCTTACTTTTATTTGTTACGAGCGATAAGTATTATATGAGTTCTTATTAAGATTCCTGCTTTTATGTGCCAGATTCTATCAACACCCACGAACACCAAGCTGGCACGGCTTTTCAAAAAAATTTTATGCAAATCAGAAAAGAAGACCCGTTCGTTGAAAGTTTAGTAGTAGCAAGTGCGTACTCCATACTGTACAGAAAAAACTTTTCGAAAAAAGATACAATCGGGATCATACCTGCAACTGGGTTTACACTCACAGAGCAACTTTCCACAAATTACACTCATTGGCTTTTGCGAAGAGAAAAAGTGATGAATGTATAGATTATACATGCAGGTAGATCACGGAAATATCGTTCAAAAGACGGCCTACTTGTTGATGGTTATTGGTTAAGTTAAAAAAAAAATTTGAATGTAATGGCGTTTAAGTCTTACAGATTTTATTTTAATGGTTGTATCTACTGTTTTCCTAACAATCGATGTAAAAAATTGAATAATAACGAAACTTTAATAAAACGATACAAAAATACTAGCAAAAAAAGTTTTAAAATGAAAAAGTACGGCTACGAAGTTATTTCGACATGGGAGCATGGTTTTGACCAATTTGCAAAAAAAAGTTACAAGTTCTAAGACCAAATAAAAAATAACACATGCACGGAAATCTGTACTTTAAACTCTCAAGATGCATTTTACGGTGGTTGTACGGAAAGTATTATTACACATAATTGGGTTAAAGCTTAAAAAAGGATAAAATATTAAAATAATTCCTCATTATACCCTTATATTTGTTAGTCAGGTACAGTTTTTCTTAGACATCCAAAAATTTATACAAGTAATAACTTTTAAATTATCAGAAAAAAACTTCAAAAATTAAAAAAAAAAAAAGTCGAGGGCTTAGTAAAATGTAAAAATTTACTGCCATTTCATTTATTTCATACTATACTTCCAACAAGGATGAAGAGTCATTAACTTTTTGGATTGTGCTACATATGTATGGTACCATTTTTTTAGAAAGAATGTATCCACGATTCCGTGTCATATGAGGCTTTATCAGATACATAAGTTTCCCTCAAAATGAGGAATGCTCTAATACTAGAATATAAATTTTTAAAAATCAATGTTATTTGGCAATATGAAGTTGCTAAATACGATCTTATTTCTTAAAATACAGGCTTATGTACAAAATATATAAACATTTGTTTTAAAATTACGAAAGTGGGTCACCCTGTACGGTTTAGACGAAAGAAGATAAATTAAAGTACATGAATAATTGTAAATATGGAGAAAGTATTGAATTAGATAACAGCAACATTAGAAAGAATCCAGGTGTACGTTCTGTAGCAAAATTAATTTTAAATTCGTTTTGGGGAAAATTGGCTCACAGGGAGAATTTACCTCAAACTTGTATAGTTGATGGATATAAAAAGTTACTGGAGGCATTATGTAATAGTAAAAAGTACATACACAAACACATAAAAAGGATGCTGGAACCCTCGTCTGATAGAACAAGGAAAAAAAAGAGAGCACTTCTTGGAGCAAGATATATATGCTGGCTAGTTAAGGGCGAGAAGAAAGATCTTATGTACTTAGTGTCCCCATCCACAAATCTTACATCAGAGCCAGAGAAAAAGATAATTTATTCACGTGGTCTCCCCTCCACCGTTCCCTGAAGCTATCGTTCAACAGTACAAGTTGTCGCACTATCGCTCTCCCACCACTACTATTATCAAAAGCACTCGTACAACAGCACAAGCTTTCCCTCCTACTTACCACCCTAGGGGGGTTAATTCGAAAAATGGTCTAGCCTATTTGCTGTACTGAAAACTTCAACTGCTAGAAAGTTGACTAACAGCAATCAAAGGTAGAAATATTCTTGGTTACTTGGGTTAACAGTGTAAAAACTTCCCAAAGTGTCAGATGATTATTGTGCGGAATTCGCTTTTCACGCCCTCTCTCACTTAATTAGACGGACACCAGCGGCACCGCCGAATCGATGCTCGAGCTCCAACAACTGTGTTTTTCGCTCTACGAGAAAAAGGGAAGGAAAAGGACAAGGCTCTCAACGCAACGACACCTGCCATATGTATATATATAAATATATA